TTTATATTTCCTGTGGGGTGAATGATATATCCTATCTTCTCTTTACAACCTATCACTTCCCGCCATGTCATCAACCTTAGTTTTGAGTTTTTTTCTCAAGGAAACTGTGCATTTTTAGCATTTAAACTTTACGTTTGCTTAGATACCCAAACTCAAATTCAAGTTGATTTATTTAATTTACATGAACTTTATTTTTTAAAATTTTAAATTATAATGATTCTTTTAGTCAATTTGAAGTTCAAACTCAAGAGATAGAGGAAAGGGTGTTGCCCAAACCTCCACTCATAGAAGGCCCTCTATTGGACTAAATTTGATTGATGAAGAGATAGAACAAGATATTGGACTTTCCGAAGATGATGGGGAGGAGTAGGTGCTTCGGATTGATGTTGATGACGATGATGATGAAGATGAAGATGAGTTTTAGGCATTTTGATTATTGATGATGTTTTTTATTTGTCTTTTTGAGATACAATATGACATATGCTACTTGGTGTTTTTGCTTATTAAGTTAATTATAAAGCTGTTTTGTGTTTGAGGTATGGTTATAAAATATTTACAAATGTTTTGTAAAATTAAGCGTCTCGCGTACGTGAATCCCTCGTCTCAAAGCGCCTCAAAAATTGAGGCTCTCGGGTAGCTAATCGCCTTAGGGCGCCTCACGCCTTTTAAAACACAGACTGATGGTCTGACTGCTTGGAAATGTTCTATGTTTGCATGAATGTTCTTGTATAGGGTCCCACATTCCGTATAGAACCTAGAAGGTTTGCAAGTTCCACTACTGTTGCTACAAAATCATCCTCATCTGGCAGCCTCTTAAGTTGGCTAACTGTCTTAAGTTGGCTAACTGGAAGTCAGTCTAAGTCCATACCACCAATAGATTTTCCCCTACCAGGTGTTGCCCTGCCACCTTCATTGCCTGATTATGTTGAATCTGGTAAGATTAAGATTACAACTCTTCCAAATGGCATCAAAGTTGCTTCGGAAACCTCAGCAGTACGTATTCTTTTTGTGAAGAATGTTTCCTGTAAAAGTTCTTTTAGAAAGAAGAGAACTATTTTTCTAGTTTATTGATGAATTGGCTATTGTTTTGGTCTCCGAGCAGAGTCCTGCTGCATCAATAGGCTTATATATTGACTGTGGTTCGATCTATGAGTCACCAGCTTCATTTGGGGTCTCACACCTTCTTGAGCGTATGGCCTTCAAAAGCACAACAAACCAAAGCCATTTGCGTATAGTGAGGGAAGTAGAGGCAATTGGTGGCAATGTGAATGCTGCAGTTTCTCGGGAGCAGATTGGGTATACCTTTGATGCTTTGAAGACTTATGTTCCTGAAATGGTAGAGTTACTTATTGATTGTGTGACAAACCCTGCTTTCTTGGATTGGGAGGTCAATGAACAGATAAATGTCTTAATCTTGCTGCTTTTCTGCTAAATAATTCTGTGCAGCTTCAGATTAAATGTCCTTGTGGGATGCAATTTGGTATTTGGCCTTGTGCAGCTTCAGAAGGTGAAAGAAGAAATCGCCGAAGCTGCAAAGAATCCTCATGGCTTGCTTTTAGAAGCCATTCACTTAGCTGGTTATTCTGGTTCATTGGCAAATCCTCTTTTAGCCCCAGAATCTGCAGTTAATTTATTGAATAGTACAGTTTTGGAGGATTTTGTTGCGGTGAGTCTAATAAAACTTAAGTTGTTATGCTTTAACTGCTAATTGTGTATTGTACTTCTACCTGACCATTGTATATCCTCCTCACTAGTAAGCTTGTTTTGCCATGAAAATATTAGGAAAATTTTACTGCCTCTCGGATGGTACTGGCAGCAACTGGTGTTGAACATGAAGAATTGCTATCGATTGCAGAACCACTTTTGTCGGACCTTCCCAAGTCCTTCGTGCTCAGGAACCAAAATCTGTGTATACTGGAGGAGATTATCGTTGCCAGGCTGATTCAGGGGTATGCTTCATAAAAAATACTTAGAAAGTGAGTTTTTTTTATTCTTCCCATTCTGAGTTGCAAATGGTTATAAATTGCAGGATCTAACTCATTTTTCCCTTGCATTTGAACTTCCTGGTGGTTGGCACAATGAGAGGGAAGCTATAATTTTAACTGTTCTTCAGGTTTTTAACGTTGGATTTCTTTATCTGCTCAATGTCCTTGTCATGCAATGTTCTAATTTTTGATGCAGTTCATAAAAGATCTTGCTAGGATTTTGCTTTCTTGATTTTTATTGCATTTTTTGTTCTCCCAGCTTTCTACCATGATTTCAACATAGGAAGGTTGATAAATGATAAATCTAATTGTTCTCTAGATTCTAATGGGAGGAGGTGGATGATTTTCAGCTGGTGGCCCTGAAAAGGGAATGTATTCGAGACTATGTCAGTTGATTGTGGTGTATACTCTTTATCTTTCAGTATATGACATGTTATAGTTTCAGAGCAAAGGTAGAAAGAGCTTTTGTTATTTTAGTGAATAACTTTTTTCTGCAACTAGACATCTAATCTCTTTTAATAATTTAGTTAATCTGTATAATTCAGCTTGAAAGTGTTTTGGTTAAATTATGAGCTGATCTTCGCGTCTTGAATCAGTATTCACAAGTTCAGTCATTTTCAGCATTCAACAGCATTTACAACCATACTGGCTTATTTGGGATACAAGCTACAACTGTAAGTCTGCTTTTGAACCTTTTATTACTAATTCTTGTATAGTTCTCTATTCCTACCTCTATCTTCCCCGCTCCAATGTCTGTGTAGAAAAAGTTCAAGTAGAGAACTTTCTTTTATTGGTTTTCACATTGTCTTTGTCCCATTTTGCTATTTCTTCTTGCACTAGAGATGTTGAAGCCACAGGCTTGGCCAAAAATATAGAATACATATCAAGTTTGATGGTGTTAGGGATAGTGTGTTCTGTAGTTTATATTTCTTTGGGTAGATTGAATTAGGAAACCTTTTGGATGGTAAAACTTGTAAATCATACCAGTCAAATGATATTAAATGCTAGCGGTTTGCAATTACAGCCAAGTGAAATCGGCTACTTCCATGTAAATTAACGTTAGGGACATTCACAACTAAATCATTGATAGTTGAGTTTCTTGCAAGACACCTTTTTGTTAAATGCTAGTAATATGACTTGCATTTGAAGGTTTTATTTGATTAACCAATTGTTCTATATTGTTACTCATCTGTTCCCTCGACTCTCTTTTCTTGGACTTTCAACTAAATTGATTATAGATTTCCAACTGTACAGATACTGTTTGCTGGTAGTATTAATCTTTATGACACTGATGTTTCTGGACTCAGGGTTCTGATTTTGTACCATCTGCTATCGATGTAGCTGTCAAGGAGCTTATTGCTGTTGCAACACCTGGACAAGGTTAGCAGCTCTTTATTCTGGAAATTACTTGGTATTTTTTGCAACACCCACTCGATGGTGCCTGATACTGAAATACTTTCATTGTTTTCTTTACAGTTGAGCAGAAAGAACTGGACCGTGCTAAACAGTTAACCAAGTCTGCCATTTTGATGAATTTGGAATCCAGAGTATGTAAACCGGTCTCTTTGGTTTCTTTATTATAGCCAAATTCAATTCTTCTTGCCGAGGATTATATTCTCCTGTCAATTTTTGCTGTTTACCCACAAGGTGTTTTCTGCAGGCTGTTGCTTCAGAAGATATTGGTAAACAAATCTTGACATATGGTGAGAGGTACGACTATTTATAAAATTCTCAGCTTTTTACCATTTCTGTGATCGACAATGACACTGCTAATTAGTTGCTTCTCATCGGCATCTGTATGTATTACTGCTTGCTTTTCATATTAAAGTTTACGTGTAAACTATTATGATATTTCGTGTGATCAAATTGTTTTGAATTTATCAGGAAGCCTGTGGAGCATTTCTTGAAGGTGGTTGATGATATTACAACCAAGGATATCTCTTCAGTAGCCCAAAAGCTTCTATCTTCTAATCTCACAATGGCATCATATGGGACTGGTAGTTATCTGTTTAGTTAAAACTATAAAACACCGGGTTTCATATGTTTTTATTAGAATGTCATTTAGAAAGATTTAACTCGTTGGTTTTGCTCATGTTTTGCAGTCGTCAACGTCCCAAGATACTATTATGTTAGCAGCAAATTCAAGGGAAAATGAAACTGCTTTGTTCAGTCAAACTCGGGTATTTCCCCTGTTTTTCGGCGCTATTATGCATCTGCATACCCTAAGAGCTATTTTTTACAGGATGCACAAATAAGGAGTTAAGGTTTCGCCATTTTGAACAATAAATTGTGTCCCTTGGCTAGCAAGTAAGCATGCTAGTGAAACAACAGGGTTCGTATGTTTTTGCTTAATTCCCTAGGATTTGGGCTTATGTATTCTTTCACTTCTGTTTTATTACACAGTGAATTCAACAGTGGTTGTTGGACTTGGGGCACATGCTTGACTGGAAATTGTTTTGGTTACGGCACAATTTTCAGGGTACAAAGAAGCTTTTAAGGATTTAAAAAAACCTTAAAATAACTAAAGAAAATTGAATCCTACCACTAAGATCACACTCCGTTGACCAAAAAAATCAATGAGTCTTATTCGTTAATGTTATTCGTCATGGAGCATTTCGACAATTAGATTAATTTTAGGCAAGCCATAATTATGAGATAACACGTAACAGTCACGTGATATCTTGCTAATGTTCATAAATATTAAAATATATATATATAAATTTTAATGAAATTAAAGCTACATAGAACTTTGTTTATACTTTACAGAATGTTTGCTTGTATATCGTATGCTCTGTTTGAATCAAAGGGAAAACGAAATCTTAAGCGAGCTATAAAGGCTGGGGTTTGTCCGCAAGTGTTTTATTTAATCAAATTCACGATGCATACAATCCCAACAAAATGACAATGAACAAGTTGTGTATAAAAAATACTTTGAACAATTTATATAAATTATGTATGTACATCTCTCTCCAGTAAGGAGTAAGGGTCTCTCCAGTAAGGAGTAAGGGTCTCTACATTAACCATAAGATGTCCCTAAGCTTCAAAGCTGGTTGAACTAGATGAAGCTTTGACTTTCAGGCGAGGCTGCTGGCAGATGCAGATCACGATGAATATCCAATTTGATGGTTGTCGGGGTCTACCATCGGCTGCTGCTGATATAAACTGATCTCTGGTTGATGTTGTTAAGTTTCCAAGTTCACAAAACCAAATGGAAGATTACTATTCCCTTGAAGCTGAGAATATATCGGAAGGAGTTCAAGTAGGTCCTGTTACAAAGTTCATTGCTTCCTTAGTCGTATTTTCACCCAGAATTTGAATTATGTCACGAAATAATTGGATTTTGACAAGATATGTGTCATCTGATTGCAACATGAGCGCAATGTCCAAAGGAATATATGGATGTCCAAAGGAATATTTTCCATCACCAGGTTACAAAAATAACTTTCTATATTACCCTACCAAAATGATAAGCCGAATTTGATTCAATGAGTGGAACTTCCTTGTATTACAAACCATCAAATAGTATCCAACCATGAATCGAAATCATCCAAGACTTTTGACTTTGTGACCTGTTGTGAGGATGAAGACTGAATATTGTTCTCCCAAGCAGCTTTTGGAACCTTTTGCTCAGACAATCCATTCGGGCTTACCATTTTGGATGTTTGTTGTAATAAATCAAGAAGTAAATCTTCAAGAAGTAAATCCATTTGGAACTTCCTTTTATTACAAACCATCAAATAGTATCCAACCATGAATCGAAATCATCCAAGACTTTTGACTTTGTGACCTGTTGTGAGGATGAAAACTGAATATTGTTCTCCCAAGCAGCTTTTGGAACCTTTTGCTCAGACAATCCATTCGGGCTTACCATTTTGGATGTTTGTTGTAATAAATCAAGAAGTAAATCTTCAGAAGCTGAATTAACTGCTGCAGCTTTTGATGAAACGATACCTCGGTTTACTGTTGAAGTAGCTTGTAACAAATCATCAAGTGAATCATCAAAACTGGGTGTAATGGGTGGAGCTTTGACCCACAAGTATCGAGAATTTTAGTATCAATGAAAGAATCAAGAAGCATATCCAATTCGGCCTCTACAGCGGCCGCTTCGAATGTTGGCACTTTTTGTTGGAGACAGATGTAGGATTACGGCTGTCCAGACCTCTACTCTCACTGAACTCACCATAATGACCGGAAATAGAATCACCTTGAACTTCAGGCATCGAACCCAATCCTCTGTTAGACAATATTGCATCTATGGGCTGGCTGCCAGGGCCAAATGACTTATCCTCGACAATTTTAGCAGCAAAGTTGACCTTCTCAGGTAAATCGTTCAGAATTATTTCTTCAGTAATTTTTGCTGCCCCTTTTTGCATTTGCTGAGATTCCTGATCGTTGTTTAGCTTTGAACTCTCAGAACGCTGGCATACAAACCAGATAATGTGTCATTAGGTAGTCAAGTGTAAATTGTAAACATATGAAGGTCAAATTAAAAAAAGAAAAGTGAGAACCGGAATTTTGATTCAACTAAAAACCTATAATAAAAGCATCAGAACAGTAGGAAAATTGTAAAAAACGAAATGGCAAGATTTTTGGGAAAGCTTAATCTCCCACCTACTACCGATGACCTTCAATCCTATTCATATCTTGTCACTTCTCAATAATGATTTCTATAGTTATTAGTAAAAGACTCAAACACCATGTTTTTACTTTTAGCGTCCAGAATTGCAGCTCCCTTACCTTTGAGGCATTAAAGTTTGGATATGAGTCAATGGTAACTTGAATATCAATAAAGGAGAATTGCACGTACCAGACTTGGTGGTAATAGATCTTCTTCAATGAAAAGCCTCTTGGATAAATCTACATTTTCAAGTTGTTCGGCAAGATCATGCAAAATAAGGGACAGAAACAAGGCATACGCGAGAAAACAAGGGGAAAACGGGTGAAAAGATAAATAAAAGCCAAGGCAATTGATGCAAGGCCAGTGGCTGGTGGTAAATGGTCTTTATAAAGAAAATGGTAACGGACAACTAAGCACCAGTTACACACTCCTATAGTTCTATTACTGAAGTGCATTTCGATTTTCATAAGACTTGACGTTATAAAATTCTATGAAACTTACCCATAGCCTATTTAAAAAATAGCTTTAAGCCAGTCCTAAATTTTTGACATGGATACTAATTACAGAAATACATTCCATGTGGAGTTAACAATTAGCAAAGGGTACATGTTTATAACTTCCTAATTAAGATGATAAATCTTTCACTAGTATCAAATATACAAACCTATAGAACCTGCTTTCATTACACTTTTAGTGCAAAAATAATAAGGGCAGTAGTGAACACAGAATTTAACTAAGTGGTTTATATAGTCATTTTTAAGAGGTGGTGTTTAACAGGTCAGGATTTCAAGTCTGAAACTGCAAAAAAAATAAGGGCAGTAGTGATGCTACACACGTAAGATCACGATTATATATATATATATATATATATATGTATGGGCAGTAGTGAACACAGAATTTAGCTAAGTTGGTTTATATAGTCATTTTTAAGAGGTGGTGTTTAACAGGTCAGGAATTCAAGTCTGAAATTGCAAAAAAAAATAAGGGCAATAGTGATGCTACACAAGTAAGATCACGATTATATATATATATATATGTGTGTGTGTGTATGGGCAGTAGTGAACACAGAATTTAGCTAAGTTGGTTTATATAGTCATTTTTAAGAGGTGGTGTTTAACAGGTCAGGAATTCAAGTCTGAAACTGCAAAAAAAAGAAAAAGGGCAATAGTGATGCTACACAAGTAAGATCACGATTATATATATATATATATGTGTGTATGGGCAGTAGTGAACAAAGAATTTAGCTAAGTTGGTTTATATAGTCATTTTTAAGAGGTGGTGTTTAACAGGTCAGGAATTCAAGTCTGAAACTGCAAAAAAAATAAAAATAAATAAGGGCAGTAGTGATGCTACACAAGTAAGATCACGATTAAGATAGCCATATATACTTTGCAAAATAAATTCAATTCCAAACACAAAATCTTCATTTAAGTCGAATCCTCTGTGATTATAGATTTATAATTTCCTACTCCATGAAAATAACAAAGAAATTAACAAACTAAAACCCACTACCTCAGGATTTGCACTTGCACTGTCATCCACTACCAGTCCATGATAAAATACCCTCTCCCCTGATTACAAGCATAGAACCTACAAATTGATCGAAATCTCCTGAAACATGGAAAAGAGACGCCAAACATCACTATGATAGATGTTTAAAACTACCTAATTATTAAAAAAAACTGCCATAAAATAGAAAATTGATAGAACAATTCTAATATAAGTATAAATAAAAGTACCGGGGAGAATTTCATCTAAAGAAGACAGGGTATCCTAATGAGTATTTGAGTGGGATTGAGATTGAGCCTCAGCGATCAGGTGACGGAAGTCCGCTCCTTTACTCTTGGGCACAATAATATCGGGATCTTGACTTAGATCTTCAGAACCTGAATTAAATTCTTCCTCATTACGATTCCGATTCGATGGTAATGCAGATATACACTGCGCCTGCTAAGTTTTCTCTCTGATTTGTTTGAATGTCTGCTTCTTCGAATTTACAGGTTCGTTAACACCGGTTGATGATGGAGGGTTTGATTTTTTAATCGAATGAGGTTTTTCCCTATGGTGTTGAGAATGAGCTCTCTTTGGTTTCGCCAATGCTTTGGCGTCTATCATAACTGCAAATACTTCTGGAAGAAATTTTTTGAAAACCATAAATCTATAGTTTTCGGTGAAGATTTGATGCAGAGAGTGGATTCGATGCTATCAATGACACCACCTGAGAAAACGGAAACCGTCAACGCCGTTACCGTGACCGGAATAGAACAGGGAAACACCGGATCTATCTGCCCAGGGCTTGAAGGCGAACTTCCAAAGAGTGTAGTAAACTAAAAAGAGAATGATGTATTATCTTGTTTGGTTTGTTTATGAATGTAAAATTATAGTTTTTGGTTGAAAGAATATAAAATTATTTGAATGTATATTTTATCAAATTATCATTGTGATATATGTTTTTTTTAAAAAAAATTAATTTTTTTAATATTAAATTATAAATATTTGAATGAAAATTCAAAAATGTATTTTAATTGTTATGTTATCTAAATTTTGTGAGAGAAAATTAATATATAATTAGTATATTAAACTGATATTTTTAAATAAGTTTCATAAATATCATATTTATTTATATATAATATAATATAATATAAAAAATAATATTATAATCTCGGATGGATAATTATATTATTTTTCAATGTATAAGATCTATTTTTAATAACTTAAATTTAGACATTGATTTAAATAATTACATTTTTACAATAATATTATTTTCACCTCATAAAATTATAAATAATTAATAAATTAAATATTAAAAATACAAAATAATTTTCAATACTAAAATTTATTAATATTTTACTAAATTAAACTCTTTGTATATTATTATTATGTTCATAATTTTGAGTAAAGTATAAAAAAAATAAGAATTGAGAATGACCATTATAAAAAGAATTCATTAGTGTATGTGCATTTTTGTCTAAAGTAGTGGGAATTATCTAATACCTAAGATTTTGAAGGTAATTGCCCATCATTTTAACCAAAAAATGCTACTATTGGGAAAAAATTATTCTCCTTGGTAATTATCTTTTCCACAAATCAAATGTCCCCTAAGCGTTAGACTCGGTAGAGAATACTAAACTGGTAATTAATGTTTGAGTAAATTTTTGTGTTCGCCATTGAAGTTTCAAAAATAATAAATTGATCACTAACATTATCGATTTGTAACAAAAAGGTCACTCCATCGTTATTTCCATTAAATTGATGATGTGAAAAGTTAATAAAAATGTTAATATTCAGTTTAACCCTTAAACTACTTCTAAAACACCAAATACGCCATTGAACAATGATTTTATATCAATTTTACCACCAAAATTTCTAATTTGAAAAAGAAGAGGTTCAAACGCTTGTTGGTAGAGGATTAGCCAATTTGTAAACTTTGAAAAAGGATATGGGACCGACGGTGTTACTTTGAACGTTAACATTATTATGAATAACCAAAAACTGGTAGGTTAGCTTTTACTTGAATCTTTGAATTGGGTCTGCTAATAACAATGATAGTGAGGGTATTTATAATTTTTACTAATGTTTGTGTAGAAATAGCTTTGTTTGCTCCATGCATGAGTTGGTTTAGCTTTTACTTAAATATTTGAATTTGGTTTGTTAATAACAACGATTGTTGGGTGTATTTATAATTTTTACTAATGTTTGTTTAGAAATAGTTTTGTTTGTTCCAAAAGATGAATCATGGGAGTTTTATTTTGAAGGAGCGTCCAATGCTTTGAGGAATCATGGCAATGCAAATTTCTCCAGAAAATGTCTGTTACCCTTTCACAAGCATACTAAAGTTCTTTTGCACTTCCACTATGAGGATAAGAGCGTCCATGAAAAAATATTTAAAGTGTTGAGGTATATAGAGATCCCTCGTTAGTAGTCTATCAACTACGAGCATAATGGGAATTGTCACAAGAAGTTGCCCTTCACCTTGTATACATGTCGGATTTCAGCACGTACTTCAACGAGGGTAACACCTTTTCTCTTTGGTGTATGGAACAAAATCAGCCTTACTTATTGATGTCAAGATTTCGTCACTTCAAGTCTTAGCAGAATTAGAGATGGGAAAAAGTTGAATGGGATCAAGTTCTATATGATCAATTGAACTCCACTCTAGAAAAAATGTTAAAGGCTATTTTCTATGGACAGATGTGATAGAAGAAAATGACATAAGCTCATGATAAGAACATCATCCAACCTAATTTCAAAGAGTGATATAGTGATTGAATTTTTTTTTTTGCCAATTTATAAAACTTACTTTGGGAAATAGATGCCTAATTGGGAAAAGACCATACATTGTCAAAAAGGTCTTTTTCAGATAAGTGTTAATTTTGACAAAGATGGATGGAGATGAATTTAGTGATCAAATAAATTTAGATTTGAGTTAAGATGTACTACATTTGAAGAAAAGAAAATGAAAGGAAAGAATAAAGAGAAAATGAAAAAGAAAAAATAGAAAAAAGGAAATTGAAAAAGAAAAATGAAAATTGAAAAAATGAAAAAATGAAAAAATGAAAAATGAAAAATGAAAAAATGAAAAAAGAGAAAAGGGAAAAAATGAAAAAGAAGAAGAGGAAAAAAAGGAAAAGAAATAAATAAAAAGGGGTTCAAGATGAAGATACATGAAGAACATCTTGAAATAAAAGAAATGATTTGAGTTGAAAACCTGAAAGGGCGGCTCAAATACATTTTGATATTAGGCATCTGACAAATAAACCCTCTCAAAAGTCTGGTCCTTTGGGATGAGCTTCACATATACAAACATTTTAGCGACATTTGAAATCTTTTAGACAGAAGCTTACCCATACACTTAAAGAATATATCCATTTGATTGGTTTAAAGAGTTTGGTATTTTGGGTGGAGCTTCACATCTATAGACATTTTAAAAACATTTGAGATCTTCTAGATAGAAGCTTACCTCAATGCTTCAAATTATATCAAATTGATTAGTTTAAAAAAATTCATGTTAATGATGCTTTGGACATTTAACTTTATTTCTTGATTTTTATCCTTTCTATGATTGCCATAACTATGAAAAGATTCTAAAATTCTCATCAATCAATTCAAGCTTTCTTATTTCAAGCCTCAATTTCGTTCATTTATAAGCATCTTATAAGTAGATTAACATAGTTCAAAATAAAACAAAAGATTTCTTAATATTACTTTGAACTAATATTTTAAGTTTAGTGAATCCAAAGTAGGCCATAACCTTGACACTCATGTTCATTGTTGAAGAGTTTATGGAAAAGCATAATAAGGAAAGATGTCCATGAGCTGAAGTTGTGAAAAGGGCTACATGAGAACATCATTTTCATAAAAGGAATGCATTGCATTTAAAAACATTTAATTGTGTTCATGATTTTACATACAAATGCATGTTTCATATAAATCTTTGATATAAAGAAAATTTGAGATCAAAACATCAAACATGGAGAAAATAATATTTAGAAAGGGTTGAATCTCAATCAATAGATAAGTCATAGTCTTGAAAAATGGGCATGATATTCAATGATTTCATTAGAACAAAATATAAATTTGGAAAGTTCATAATGAGAAAAACTCGTCCAAGAATGATAATAAGTTCCTAATAAGAAGAATTTGTTCAATATTTTTCTCAAATCTATCACAAAATTAGGTGTATCAATGTTATTAATGAGAGTTTATAATGAGAAGAACTTCTCAACCTTTTATTCATATCCATGATTGAATGAGGTAGATCAACGTTATCAATGGGAGTTCGTAATGAGAAGAAATCATCCAAGAAGAGTGAAAGAGTTCATAATAAAAACTCGTCCAAGAAGAGTGAAAGAGTTCATAACAAGAAGAATTAGTCAAGGAGAAGAAGTTCATATAATAGAGCTTGTTCAACATCGGAAATATCTTTATGAAAGAATGAAAATTTCATATAAGAGAGCTCGTATAACCTTTCCAGATAAGAGGGAGCGACCAAGAGAGAAAAAATTCATATATGAGAGCTTGTTTAACCTCAGAGTTACCTTTACAGAAGAATGAAGAGTTTATAATGAGAAAAGCATGGAGCTTGAGATCTACTGCAATCTAAACGGATAAAAATTGGTGTTTTATGTCTTTGCTCTCTTCTTGTTTCACAATAATGTGCAAAGAGTGACGAACTGTAATCACCAAATTTTCACCTATATTATTATTATTATTATTATTATTATTATTTTATTATTATTACTATTTATTTTTATTTTTATTTTTATTATTATTATTACAATATAATCAAACACAATAAATCAACTAACCCATTAACCCTTATTACACCTAGTAACCTAAATACAAAATATTAAACCCCATTAGCAAGCCCATATAAGGACCCAAGGAAAGGTTTCCAACTTTTTTTATCAGTGTCGCATCAGCCCTCACTGTTAGATCTGGGAATGATTTGACAATATAGATTAGAGAAAGTTATGGTTTCCCAAACCTCAATGTATCATCAAGTGCCACCTTTGCTCATTGTCGCTAGGTTAAATGATCAAACAACCCATATTATCTCACTCATCCGTGACTTATTAGCTTCCATGTGCATCTACTTTCGTCACCAAGCGTGATTCATGCTAGTCACCTATGCTTGCTATCTTCATATCATGTAACACCCTAATCCAGTCTGACCCGAAGATAAAAGGATTAAAGCCTCACACGGGACCATCGAAGTGGCTAACAAAAAATTTTACTTTAAAATCAATTGTAAACATTATATAAAACCAGCCATAGAAAATAAAACATATTCATCTGAGTTTACAAAATATAGGGAGCTCCCAAAAACATCCAAAATAATAAAAATATTGAGTTTAACAAAATAGAGTTACGACTGAATACAAAAAGGGTCTATAAATAGTACATGCTCTCTAAAAATAACTCAAAATGTACTCTGATGCCTCGACTAATATGGAACTGATGGCAACAATAATACTCCTCGACTGGTCTCCTAGGAACCTCGCACGAAAAAACATTCCGAACCTTGAGCTTATGAGCTCAGTGCCACACTAATAATTGTACTATACTACATGCATTCAATAAATAAGTATGCTAGTGACATAGGTATGAAGACATGAGAAAATGCTGTTATGAACTACTGAAGTAGGCATCATGGTGTGCTGAGGGTTTTACATCTCGGAGCACACACCCCTCTAACCCTCCTAAAATACCCTCGTGTATTTGGGGTGAGATTCAAAACTGCATAAGAAACGTACACCCGACCTCGAGTCTTGGGGGCATCTATGCTCAGTCGGCAAC